CACAGAGAAAAAAAACAGTATTTCAAAAGCTATAGGGAAAGCAAATCCACTTCAGTGTATCTGAAATACAGTGTTTCATCAACCTGCATTGTTTTGCAGTAATAAACAAGCATAGTAGATTTGAGGCACTTTGGAAAACAGATTGAGAAAACCTCTTGGAAAGACTTTCCAAATGTTCTTGGGAGGTCAGTACCCTGATTCATTTCCCCCTACAGTAGTTATCACCACTGTTCTGACAGTGGAAAATCTTGCCTTCATCTTAGCCTTTACCTGGCTTGATCAGGATTCTGCATTGAGTACAAAGATGTAGCTCTGTTCTGACTGAAGGGGCTCCATGAGAGGCATTTCTCATAAATTTCACCAAGAAATAAAGTTTCTGAACATCTATGGGCCAGTGAACTGTTTGTCATCTGTCACTGATCTAGTGCAATCAGTGAGTTGGAATGAATTGGGCCAAGTGATGATCATTTCTCTTGAGACAGCTTCTGGCTGTGACAGGTTACATGCTGCCCAAGTGCACATGCTTCTTTCTAGTCCTATTGCAGGCAAAGAGATGGGAACAGCATAGTGCAGCATAAATCTGGTCTTATTTTGTACTGTGTTTGTTCTTAGATCTTGTTTCTCTAATGAAGAGAGACTGAGAGGATAAATGATTTGCCAACTACATAGAAATATCCTGCAGGCTGACACATGCCTCAGATCAGTGCAGCATTTTTGTGAACAGATAATCTCTTCAGTTGCCTTCTTCTGCCATGATATAAAACCATCTTCACTTCCACTTGTGCAGGCTTACCATGGATTTTATCTAGAAGTGTAAGTCACTTCATATTCTGTCCTAGGAAACCATCTGAAAATTAAAGGGTATCACTGTTGGCCTTTACACTTGCTGTGCCAATAGCATCTCTAATTAAAATTCAGTAATAGGAAATGTTTGATATTTTAACTTGAAGTCCAATTAGACACGTAGGTGAATGGGAGTTGTCACCCCTTTGTTATGCCCTGCTTATGTGAGAACTTGTGGTTTATACCATTGTATAAAGGAATAAAGAATCTAGAACTGGGTATGTCATTGCTAAATGGCCTTTCTAATGTATTTTGGAATCTATTGGAATTAATGGAAATTCTTTCCATGCTTGAGAAAACTTGGGCTCATATGGGCCTGCTGTGAGCTGTGATGTAAACATGCAGGCTGCATTTACCAGTGTACAGGTTCTGCATTATTCACAGCCTCTTATCATGGGATTATAACCTATGTTCACAACAATATGTTCTGGAGGTGGCTTTATTGCTACTAATACTAATATTGCTACTATACTAATATGTCTTTTGAATTTATTTACTTATTTATTTTTTAAATAAGAGGCTTTTGTACAGTTGGTACTTGAAGCTTTTTCTTTGCGTTTTACTGATTATTGCCAGTTAATTTCTGGCACTGGATTAAATGGATGGGAAATTTTGTGTGAATACTCCTGTAGCATCTGTTGGGTTTTGGCACAACCTCAAATCTGAAAAAAACTGAAGAAAGTGTCCATTCTCTTTTCATATGCAGCTTCTGTGCATAACTCATTTCCTGGCATGAGTGGCATCTTCCCATCACGGTGTGGGATGCCCAGTGTTTTCAGAGAGCCTGGCAGTGAATTTGGGATGGTCAAAAGCTGTCTTTTGCAACCATATGGTGTGGCGTCACATGGGTGCTTGGGCTCCAGGTTTGGCTTGTGTTGATAAGCAAGGAGCTTGAGACTTTGGATAGCACTGGGAGCACTGAATTCTCCTTTACCTGGCTGAGGAGTTGCATGCGTTTCTCACTTGATGGGTTCTCTAGGTAAGCTGCTGCGAGATATGCCTTTTAAAATCCATCTTAAAAAAAAAAACAACCAACCACCAAACCACAGTAACAAAAACCCACCCAACCCAAGCAAGCCCAACAGCACTTGTACCTACATGGCCTTATGGAATAAGTACTGCATAGCTTCTGCCATTGAAACCCACAATTGTTAAACCACCACAGTGCCTCTGTGTGAGCATACACAGTGAAAGAGGCTGGAATTGTTTCCTTTGTATTCTTGCAGCTGAAAGGCAGTCAGTGATTGTGTTGGGGCCAGAGCCAGGAACAAGGGCTCTTCACCAGTACGTGCTGGTACTGTCACAGGTTCTGTGTGTGAGTATGAAAAAGGACAAACCACAGGATAAGTGAAAGCACTGAATTTTTTATTTGTTTACCTCTAGGTACCATGAGTTTGACATTAATAGGCAAGACCAGTGAATGAGCAGCAGTACATTGCATTCAAACCTGCCTTTTCAGAGCACCAAAAATGGAGCTAGATTTACTTCTTAATCCTACAGTCAGTGCACTAGCCTGGACTTGCTGCATCTTGTACTGTCCCTAATTTAGTAGTACATTGTTATGCAGTTAGGGGGGGGTGTGAGGAAAGAGTCATTGTGTAGTACCACTTTTACATCATCATAGGACTACAACATGCACATTCTACTATGTGGCCCAAGCAACAAGAATACAAGTAGAACAGTTACGGGTAGAGACAGGTTCATGTTAACACCACCTATGAATTTTTAGAAATCTTTTTGGATGGGTACCTACAGCAGTTCATCAATTTGTGTGGGGACATTACACGCATGCACAAGTGATACAGTGGAAAACATAGCAGGAGAGACAGCAGGACAAAGGATGAAGGTGGAATCTGTGATGGATGCAGTGAAAACAAGACCTTCCTCAGCTTTCTACAGCGAGTCTCTGCTCTGTTAGCGAGGCCTGCTGGGCAACAGTTTTGTTCTCATGGCTGCGGAGTTTCGATACGACTTCTAGGAATGCCATGTTCTGCACTTCCTTTTGGAGAGATTCTGGAAAAGAAATAGTAGAAGAAACAGGGCTTTGTATGAGATGGGCAAGAGAACAGTAAAGCATGGTATGACACACTTAGGAAAGTGTCAGCACTACCCTGTACCCATTGTATACACATAAGCCTATAAATATCATCTTTTTATTTACTGTTCTGAATTGCTTTTAAGAATAGAAGAAGTCTCTGGGGCCTTGGGCTTGCCCAGACACCACAGATTTCAGCTAGAGATGAAGGATGAATTTTCTGCATAGCAGTTACAAAAATCCACCTGGAATGCCTTTCAAAAAAGATGCTTAAGAAGTTTTTTAATTGAATGTTTTTGTTTGATTCTTTAAACTATTTTGATGGAATGAACAAGTTTGCCTGAAGGGTTCACTGCATAGCTCATTTGTTTCAAATCATCTCTGGTTGGTCGTGTGAGAGTGTGAAGAGGATATGTCACCACCTGGTCGCTGGTAGCTGCCCATTTACAGTTCAGTTCTGATCTTGTCACAAGTCATCAGTTAATGTTGTGTGTATGTATACAGCATTTATGTTTGACTTGAAACTCCGAGACTGTTTCGTGGTTCTCATCCTGGATAGCATTCTTCTTGATATTAAAAAGGAAAGGTTGGGAACAGTACTCAAAACTGATGCAATTCATTTATTTATTTTATTTTTTAAAGTAGGGAGCTTACTCAAAGCCCTCTGCTCTAGACTTCTCACAGTTAAGAGCCAAAGCAGCTGGTTTTGTTTCATATCCTGTTTAGTCCATTCTAGTGAACTCACTCAGCAACAAACACCTACGTGTATTTTTTTTGCTTCCCAGGTGCTGCTAGGGGCTTAATCTCTGAGCTTCCCAGAAAGAAACCCAACCAGCTGTTTCAGATTAGCTATGCTATATATGCTATGCATATCTACGGCTTTTCCTTACAGCACACTTGGGCATTTCTTTCCCTTCCTACTTTCTTGTTCACATGTTTTCACTTTTTTTTTCTTCTAGTTATCCCTGTCTTTGTGTGTTGAGAACTCTCATGCTGCTGTGTGCCTGGGACCCAGTATATATTGAGCAGTGTCAGTGAAGCTGTTGGGTGCTTAGGCTGTGTAGGCACTTTCATTCCCATAAGATATCATCAAGCTTAAGCAGTGTTACTGAACTGCCTTTTAGGAGCTTGCTGTGATTTACAGTTAGCTGATCAGTTGTGCTCTGCACATTTCTGTGACCGCTGCACACAAGTCACTGTGCTATCTAGGAATACTCTGCTTTTGCTTATTCCTTAGGTTACACACTTCCATTGTCCATTGCCCTCATTCTTCCCTCTTCTCACCCATTCACTCAGTTGCAACAGCAACTTCAGGTGGCAAAAATCATGTGTTTAAGCATGTGTATTTTCTGCTAACACAGCTGTTGGCAGTATCAAGTACTATCCTATAACTAAGGACAGTAACAAGAGTGGATGCTGGAGAATTAAACTTACTAATAATTGAAACAGTACAACCATTTGCTAGCTTTTACTAACTATGGCTACAGAGGTCTGTTTACATGGGAATTTGTAAATGAAAAATATGGAGACTGGGGAAAACGTTAGCAGCAACAGAGCTGGAAGAGATATGTTTCATATTTTCACACGCAAGAGTGAACTTTGCTCTTTGTGATTTCACTTCTCTGATTAAAATCAATTGGTAAACAAAACTTAATACCAGAGTTGCTCAGTTGTTGCTATTATATACTGGCTATTTTTACACGGGTCTATTCATGAGGAAGCAGGGCTGAACATTGGGGCAGCTCTGACGACTTCACAGCTGTGCATTGCAATAATGTGCTGTCTGCTCCCTGGGAGAATGCCAAGATGCCTAATGTCTAGGCAATGCTTACAGTGTGGTGGCGACCGATCTCTGCCACTTGGATAACCCTGGAAAAATAAGGGAAGACTGCTCCCTTATTCTGGTGGAATAGGGAGACAGTTATTTGACTTTAAATAATGCTGTCAATCAATCTTGCAGGTAACAGGACTTGGAGAAGTGAAAGTGCAAGCGTCAGGCAGAATTTCTGAGGGTGATTATTTTTGTTGTCAGTGCACACAACAATGTCACAGTGAGTAAAAGAAATGTAGCCACCTCTTGAATCCTTATTTGAAGATCAAATTTCCTTGTTTTATCCTGCTCCATTCCCTGTATCGTCATGTCCGGCAGTTGCATGTGTTGGAGCACCTCCTGTTCATCATCCAAAACCACCACAAACAGTTGTGCCTGGAGCATGCTCAGGTTGCCAAGGGAAGAACCCTTCCTAGCAAGGTGAGTGAGGATCCCTCCTCACAGGGAGGGATGTAGTCGCAGGACTACATCTATGTGTTGTACTAAGTTCTTGTTTGTATGTGTCCCTGCAAGTATTTCTTGTCTTTTTGAACTTCCTGCAATTCTTGTAGGAATTTAAGGTCAAGAGGTACCTTGCAAATTTCTCTTCCACCTAATTTTAACTTGAGTAAGTTAAAGAAAAACAACAAAGCAACCATTGTATGTCAGTTACATGGAATTTACAGTTAAAGGTGAAAATTAACTTATCTGCATGCTTGTACAGAGAGACCAATACTGTACAGTTTAAAACATCTTTCATTTTTTTCCTGTCAAATTTCCAGATAGCTCAAATTTCTGGGATCAACCTGCATCCTGCAAAAGCTGGAATCTGATTTCTGTAGTTAATATCCAAAACAGTTAACAGCTTCTTTTTCTTGACCCTATAAAGAGTCACAGTAAATTGAGCCACTCTGTGCACATTCATAGTGAACAGGGAACCAGTGTATTTGCACATGCCCTATGTTTATTCTACAGAAAGATTAATTATATAAATGTTTTAGGAAAGCAGTCCCTCTCAAATACTCACCAGATCCTATAAGGGCACAGACCAGCACCATGGAGTTGTATTTTATTTCTGGAGCGCTCCTGTCATCTGATAGCAGTCTGTATAGAATCTGAACAAGCTGAGCATTTTCAAGATCCTTTTCAGCAGTGACTGAAATACAAGTGAAAGCTGTGAAACTGGAATTGGTGCTTCGTTTGGTACTTTTGTGTTTTATCCTTCTATGGAAGCATGGATCTTTCATTGTAGTGAAACTGGTGCTGTGGTAGAACATGTTAGATGGCATGGTGATAGGAATCACAGCTCTTGCTATAAAAACGCAAAATAACCTAACTGCTTGAAAAGACAATCACTATGTTCAGTGATAAAATCCAATTTTAAATATGCAGGAGCTAATGGAAAATGTGCCTGGCTTTCTAGCTACTTAAGTCAACACTTGCAACATTTAAACATGGAAGACTTCTACTGCCTGAATTTCCCTTTAGAAAGTTTGTCTGAGTTCAATACAGACAGTGAAATTCTTGACTCCGTGGTAGGAAAACTCAAGGCCTGTTAGAACTGTGAAAGGCTTTGCAAGATCAGAGTATGATTTTTTTCCTTTGTAGTTTTCTAAGAAACATACTGAATTCAGGCTTGAAACCTTTACATGTCTGCAGGGTTAGAAGACTCATGTGAATTTATCATTTCCTTTCTGTCAAAAACTCTGATGCGTTATTGGCAGTGATTTGGAAGTTGAATGTAGCATTCTGTGGGTACACAATGACAAGAGATGAAATCAAGAACAAAAGTATGCAATACTTGTTTAGTTCACGATATTAATTAATACGCAAACAAACAGGACAAAGCCCCCACGGGGCATTTACCCTTCTTTGTTTGGTAATCTGAGTTAGGGGAGATTTAAGTTACTTGTTAGGAGGCAATTCTTTACTCAGAGGGCAGTGAGGCACTGGGACAGGTTGCCCAGAGAAGTTATGGATTCCAACATCCCTGGAGATGTTCAAAGCCAAGGTGGATGGGATCCTGGGCAGCGTGATCTAGTGGTTGGCAGCCTTGCCCATGGCGGGAGGGTGTGGAAGTGGTTATCTTTAAGGTACCTTCCAACCTATGTCATTCTATGAAGTTGAGGCATGTAATCATCTCTGCTTTCATATCGCAACTTTAGCATCTATTTCTGTGGAATTTAATAGTAGCAATAGACATATTTTGGGGCCTCATCTACCTCTATATGTATTCTTTAGCTCCCACTGATTAGGTAAGTGAAAGCTTTACTTTGATAAGCCCTTTCAAGAGGGGATTGATCATTTCAGTGTACACAGGCCTCAGTCACATAGTTTCCACTCTAAATTACAATTTTATTAACTATTAGATTTTATCTGAAATCTCATGGAGGTTGTTCTAGAATCTGTGATCACCTATCAGAATGGAGAAGTAGATATAGTATAACCAGTAAACTTGAATTTTCTGCATAAACTTATTTCTTGCCTATTTCTTTGCATGAATTGCCATGTATTTCCATGCAACGAAAAAGGAGATGGAAGCAGCAGCCTGTTCTACGTTGTAAAATAAACTCACAGGACTCTCCCTGTAGGGTTTCTTTTGAGCACAGGCTCAGAAGAACACAGGCAGTTAGCTAATGGGATACTCACCTAACTCTAAAGCTGCTATTAGTGCCAGTGCAACGAGAGCTTCATTTTGCATTATTACATGTTCGCTGGTTGCCATGGTTACTAAATGCTTGATGCCACCGCTCTGTACAATCGTCCTAATTACATCCTAAAATAAATGGCATAGTAATGAAAAAATTCTGCATTACATACAAACAACGTTTAAACATTTTAAACATTACATATTGCATTTAAACAAAGTTATCGTGGTAAGGATACTCATTGCTTATATGCACATTTAATCGCATTACATGTAAATGTATGTGCATGTGAGCCTACAAATAATCTGCTGTTAACACTGCAATTATAATATAGAACTTATTAAACCAAGCCAGTCAACCAATTTAAGAGACATATTGCTCTTTTCCAAGTTACCACCTATAACTTCAGTTCTTATGGCAGATGGCCAGTTGCCTAACAGTGAATACCCTTTGCGGTGTTTTCACTTAGCTGGTGTTCAAAGATCACTAATTTTTCCTTTTATGTTGTCATGTTCAAGGCAGCTTATCAAACCCACCCAAAAAATTCTGTAATTGAAATAAGGAAATATAAGAATACAGTTTAATAATGTTGGCATCCAGATGTCTTCATCTCTCCATGGATTTTTAGTTTCTTCGAGAAGTTCAGAGAGGTGAGATCACAAATATATCTGCTACTTAATAGAAATTGTGTACTACAATTTAGAATTAGGTAGGAATATGAATAACATTCTCTTGAAATATTGTAAATTTATGCTTCAAATATGAAGCAGGTTAGGAAAGGACAGTTACGAGATACTGATGAGTCGGTTTTTGTTCTAAAGCCAGCAATTAAAATGGACTGTTGACTAAGATCTAGGAAATAAAAATGCTGGGTGGGTTAAGTGACTTTAAACAGTTCAAATATATGCAAACAGGATTCTCTTTTCAAGTTCAAAATTTGATCTGCATTACATATGTAATGAAGAGTGAATAAAAATCTCTGGTGTATGCATTTTGATTACCTGTATGCTATCATTAAAAAGCTAGTTTGCACATAAAGCAAATTTTCATCATTATGTGCACAAAAAATACTTGAAAATGGTTTGCTTGGAAGTTGGATAACTTTGCATGCCAAGGGACAACTGTCCAAGGAAATGTGGTTTGCCTTTTTAATTTATTTTTTATTTGTTTTGTGGATGCAAAGATTTGAAGCAGTAGTTGTTTCTTGAAATAAGAATCCAATTTAAATTTATAAGCTTGTTGAATTTCCATTTAAAGCACATGTCTCTTTGCAATTCCAACCACAAGCCCAGCTCATTAACTGATACGTGTGTTTAGAATAATTTGTTTCAGTGCTTGCATAGACTGTGTGGTGACATTCTTTGTGCAAGGAAAAAGACACAATATGATCACAACCTTGAAAACTGAAATACTTATAGATGATCACATTGAAGATACTTGAAGATCCTTGTGGCGCAAGTCACAGCCTAATGACTCAAGAATTTGTCAGTCAGAAAAAACATTTTAAATTGTGTCATGTCTGCAAGTATGTAAGTATTTCTGTATTTTTACTTACTTGCATGGATAGTTTTTCTCACTTGTGATTTTTCTGGTGGAAACTCTTTAGTGGCTTTGAGTCTTGTTGGAGTACTCTGGGAGCTGCTAATTACTCTTTGACTTTGTGGGGAATTTTGGCTATCTGCCTTGACATCCAAATTTTAATAACTGTAGTTGAGTATTGCCTTCAAAATGGCAGTGCCAAGCAGGTAAGAGGTGCTATGTCAGATAAGTCAGGTTTGGGTACTCCTGCAACTTAACAAAGGGAGTATGTACTTGTGAGTTAGAAAGAAGTTCCTAAACCACTGCTGCCTTTCTCAATATTAGCCCAAGTACTATTAAATAAAAAATGATTTCAAATCTAATGTGTGCTATGGAACCAGTTATGTCCACAGTCCAAGCCTAGAGGGCAGTAAATGCATTAAAAAAAACCCCAACCACCTTCTTAGCTGTTTTATTCTACCAAAGAAGTTTCTCCTGTAAATACCTAAACCACGAAGAAATTCAACTGTGATAATTCCGTTAAGTGCCATCTTAATATCTATTTCAAGCCATTAATAGTGTCTCTGCATTTAGGATTAAATTCTGTTTTCTTGTAGGAGTATTAATAACTTGCATCTGTGCATTCTTACACCATCTACGAGGGGAAGGTATAGAACTTGGGGTGGGAAAACTGGACATAAAATGGAGAGTGAGCTTTAAAAAGATACAGTAGTCTAGAAATCAGTGGAAGTGTTTGTCTCTGTAAGTCCTATTGATTTGTTCTTGTAGAGACATTGCAGATTGTTTTTCACTTTGCAAACACCATGGACAAATGAAGAAGTCACTATTGGTCTGAGTTCTCCACATCACGCTGCTTACTTTTAAGCTCAGTCACGATGCAACCTGGGTTTGTATCACCAAACTCAGCCAACGAAGTCAGAGCGTGGAGTAGATTGGTTCTAGGGGAGGTGCATGTGCTCCTTCTAGGGCTCTGTTTCATCTAATGTTCCCCCTGAGCAAGGACTGAAGACTTGGATGTGCTTGGATCTTATAACTTAAGACCTTTTATGTATAAATTGATACACAGGTAATGGGTCAGACAAAACTCATTGGTCACAGTTTCTCTTAATGTCATACCTTGTACCATGTACAGGCAAGCTTCTGATAGAATTCAGAGAAGAGGATCATTTCTAATGGTCCATTAAAATCTTAAAACTCTGAAATACCATGTGAAAAGAGCAGAGGGACAGCCTATATCTGGATCTCAGTAATTTGATACATATCTATATAGCAACATCATCATAACTGAATGCAATGACTCTTCATAAGTTATCATTAAGTAGAAAATACGGCACGCTGAATTTCTGCTGGATATAGAGCAAATTCTAACAGGTTGAGACTTAGCTGTATGCACTCTAACTGTGTTCCTTGACTGGCTTCTGTATTTTTTAACCCACATACTTCCAGTGAGTGTTTAAACCTGGTGCTTCAGTCGAACTGGCAGGTCCTGGAGGCTGAGAGGATATGAAATAGGAAATCAACCAACCTAACTCTCAACAAGACTTAGATACCAGAGGCTTTGGCTGCCAACAGCATGAAGTGCAGAGGTAACTCTTTGTTCTTGCAAGCTGAACTTTTTCACCACTAACTTACTTTAGATTTGCTGTGTCGTATAAGTGCAGAAAGTAGTCTGTTTGATTCTCCCATCACACCTGCGTGATCCTTTGCTTCACACCACTCCACCAATCGTTCCACCAGTTTTGCATTTTTTCCCAGTTGTTCAGCTGCTTCTGCTACATATTTCCGGAGCCAACAACACAACAGAGAAGTTGTCATTTTTTAAGCAAGTGCTAGAAAAATAAGCTGAAAGTTACTTACTAGAAGGAGTTTGAGTAGAAATTTGCCAGCTTGTACTGTGTGAAAAATCTAGGTTGCATGGAAGCAATTAAAGCCAGTAAAAATGGAGACAAATATCAGAAATACTCAGACCCAGTTCCCAACTTTTTGTTTGAACTTTATGCACTGACTAACAGCAAAGAAAATACAGGTAATGTCCCAATCCCAGTTGAACTAGTTAAAAAATTTAAAGCACCACTGTCATCAATTAAATCTTGTAGATGATAGGTTGCATAAGTTTCTTCAATGAATTTCTACTCATAGAAGTTATATTACCACAGCTAATAGCTGTGGTAAACTACAATATTCTGAGCTTCCTTTTTATGTCCTTTTTTTTCCCCAGGAATCTGCTGCACAAGGTTGAAAACATTTTGGTGATTTATTTCATTAATAACTTAACAGACATTGATTTCAAAAATACACGTTCTAGGTACAGAATAAGCTGCAGAACTGAAAGGTGTTTGGTCATTTTGAAATTGCAATTTATCATTGAGCAAGTGCATTAGTATGTTCCAAGAAGCTCAGTACAGCTAGAAAATGCACCAAGTGAACAGCAAAACTGGAGTGGTAGCTTACAACTCCCACACCTCAGTGCATTCTCACATTGTGACAGTGTAGGAGCGGTTTGAAATAAGAAAGTAAATAAGCATTTGACATCTATTCTGAGGGTCCCTGGTAGTCAGTTTGGGAGTTCTGGGTGGAAAAAAATCAACCCACATTTTTCTCTGCCTTTGTAGATGTATTTATTCCAAAACTTGAGGAATAAAATTAAACAAACAAAAACCCAATGCTTTTCTTGTGTAAGTTTTAGCAGTATATCACAGACTGAACCTAAGTGAATCACTTAACATAGAGAACAGTTTATTTTTACCTTGTGCATCTATTAACATTCGTAATGTTCCCAGCAGCTTGAACTGAACAGGGGGCATCTCCGATCTGAGAAATTTCAATACTGCTTCTGCAACACCAGCTGATAGCATCTTAGCCTTATTTACAACTGCATGAATAAAGAACAGGAATGATCTCGAGAACATTTTTGGAAGATGCAGTTTATTTCCAAGACAGTGTTGGTGCAGTTTTTCAGACAGTTTGAAAAATAGCTTGTGAACACAGACTTCAGGAACACGAGTGTGTGCTGACAATGCTGTGTTGTACAAAAATGTTGTGGTTGCTGAGACACACGTGCAAAATGAAGTGCCTAATCCCAGCATGCACTTATAACCTCTAGTGTTCACTGTAAATGTGGAAACCAGACTTCCCCACCACAGCTTAGGAAAGGAGTCCTCCACAAAATGAACCAAGCAGAAGCCCAGGCCAGTACTTACCTGCACCCCAAAATATGGGGAAACTTCTCTGAATCCCAACAACACTTTTCTCTTTCATGTAGGGAAGGGAACTAAAGCATCCAATTAGCAGAGTGACCTCTTCCCACTTGTAATATTCGATGCAAGCAACACTGTGGCCTGCCCGAGCTCTCCTTCATCCTTTCCACTAGTCTAAGTTCTCTGCTTCCATGGAGCTCCCTGAAATCTATGTAAGGTGTAAACTTGATCCAATATCATAGTTAAAAAATGTTTATTTTTTTTCAGAGTAGCATTTAACAAGCAGTTCATCACTGTGGCCGTTTACTCCTTACTCATTTTTCTATACTGACGTTCATTAAGTCCTGTGTAGGTCTCTGGCTGACATTCCTGAGCACAGGCTGCAGGGAAGCTTTCGAACTGATGCAAGCTAACAGAATTACCTAAGCAAGGTAAGCAAATGGTGTAGCACAAAAGCTGCATGGGTTTAATATGTATGCACAATCATTTTTAGAAAGTTACTGTTTGTCAAAACTGAAAATAGTAAAATAAGGTTAAATGGATGAAAGAATTATTTTGTGGCTTTGTATTAGAAAGCATACACAAGTACCATAGGTTTGTTTGGGTTTTATGTGCACATACTCTGCCTCTTATGTTTGCATAATCAAAAGTCACAAATGAAGTTATTAAAAATGAAAAAATTAGCATTCAGTCCATTGCCTCCAAACAGTAACTAATAGAACAGACCGGCTATTCTAACAGCTCACCTCCAGCTCTACCTTCTGAATAGGCAAAGCTTTAGGAAGTTAGAGGGGGATGCAGTGTTTCAATATATTCCTCACTGTTGTCTGGTGGGGACCTTGGGCTGTGAAAGAGAACTCAAATGAAATAAAAACAAACAAAAAGCAGCGCTCTGCCTTCCTGAAGCCTTGGCTCCCTGCCCTTTCCTTGGTGGGGGATGAGACTGTGGATTCAAAGTGTCAAAGGATGGCTGATAGATCTGTGATGTACTTAAAAATGCTACTTGCTATCACTGTGCAAAAGCTACAAAGGCGAGAGAGCAGAATTTCTCCTTGGATAGGTAGCAGTGCAAAGGGAGGCTTACCAGGAATAGCCAGGTTTCTGAGCGCGCTCAGAGCTGCATGTTGCACAGTTACGTTTCCATCCTCCACATGTCTGTCTAGCAGATCCATCAGCTTTTGAACTATGCCATTATCCACCATATGGATACAGTTTCCGTCTGTGCAAGATGAGACAAGTCACTTGTGAATGAAAGATTTTGAATGCTTTTTAAGAACAGAAGTTTCAGTTCCCTGCTCCTTTCCAGATGTTGGAGTGCTTGACCACCACTGTCAATGGGATTTGTGATGCTCATGATAAATCTAGAACAGCTGATAGAAGAACTGCAGAAAGCAGAAATTCCCTACACATCTATTACAAATGTGAAATTTTTTAATAATTTTTTAAAAATAGTTGTAATGCTTTTCAGGCTAGTGAAATATGAAATTACTGAAGTTGCTATACAGTTTGCTACCAGCTTTAGCAGAGTGTACACCTTTTCTTTGTATCTGTACAGATGTAGTATGATAGAAGGGCACGGTTAAACACAAATAAGATACTATGGACTATTCTTACCATTTCTGGCAAAATTTGCAATAGCCAGTGCTCCTGCGAGTTGTAGCTGATGGCTGTTGGAAGGAATCCATGAAAGTACTCTCTGGAACACACTGCCTTTTCCTCCTTCAAATAACTTTTGCATGGATTCATCTGGGATAAAAAGCAGACAGTCAGCAAGCCAAAGAAATGTTAGGGAAAATTATTTTCTTTATATTTGTCAAGCTCTACCACCTTTGCTGCAATCAGCCCAGTTCTGAATTCGATGACAAATGAAATCTGACGTAACCTACTAAATGTTAAATGCCAGGTCCTTTAGGTTATTTGAAAATTGTCTAATAAGTAGTAACATTCAGCAGCCAAATGACAGACATGTGTCTGCTGTTGCTTTGCAGAAGTGACACACTGTACTTACCTCCAAGCAGTAACAAAACCATAAGATCAGAAGCTGTTTTAAGCTCTGCAACATCATCCTCTTTGTCACTGTCGACAGTCTTCTGGACAATCTCAAGTAAGCACTCTACCAAGCCTGCTTCAACCAGCTGCAGTTTAATGACATCTGTGAAGTAGCACGTATAGGAGGAGTCAACATTATAATTTAAAATACATCCATTGTACCTACATGCAGGACAGCCAAAACTAGAAGCAATGTCAAGTATTTCACTGACAACTTGTGTAGCTAAAATCACACTTTTTTTTAAAATGTGCATTCTTAGGGTCAACTTCCATCATAATTCAACTAGCAGGTGTGCACCCCCAGCTCTGGACTGCCCTTAGGCCACATTATCCACTATGAAGCAGTGTGGAGCTGCTCTTCTCAAAAATGAGCATATTTCTTTGCAGAAATGATCTGGCATCTTGGTCCTCACACAGCACATTCATACGAGCCATGCTGTGCTTGGGCTCTCCAAAGAATTTGGACTGAGTTGCAGAACAAAGCTAGGAGTGCATCTTCTGTTTTGTGTACAGAAGAGCCACTGACTTCAATGAGCTGTGCAAGTGTAAAATACAGATTTTCTAAAAATGACACTTCAGAGCAAGTAATGACACATTTTTTTCAATTGAGCCAAGACTTCGGTCACTTTTCCAAGGACTTCAGGAGTACAGAAAGGCCAAATCCAGCAGGCTGGGTTGGGAGAGAAATTTGTTGTGACCAAAAAAAAGCTGGAAACTGCTAAAGCAAGCTCATTCCTTAGTTACTAGAAACGAGGCTCAACAGAGAGGTGATGAATGGGTTGTTTAGGTAGCAATATAGGATTTGGAAGCAATAATTTTTATGTCTCTAGAACACAATATTTAATGCTTTTTTTTCCTGTGAGTTTAGAGCTGGATACCTCCTTCTTTATATACATGAATTCCCTTCCTGTTAAGTTAGAATGGCAAATCACCTGATGCTGTGCCACCTCTTTTTATTATGTGAAAGTGATACCATTAGTTTTGCATCCCAACTTCAGAGAGCACAGTCTCGAAGGTCTGCAGAAGTGTAAATAATAGCCGTTTGTATGGACGTTTTCTGCATGAGATGGCGTAAGGAGCTTAGCTCAAGTTAAAATATTTTTAAAGACTAAAGCTGCAACAGTAATTTTTTCATACAATTTACAAGCAACAGTTGGGTGAGGAAAAATGTCCCATCTCTCTGTTGAAGGATGTGCCTGATTCTGTCCATTTACTGCTGTTGCTCAACTTTGTGCCTGAGTGAAATTGTTTCTCCCAGAGCAGCTCTTTTACAGAATGCAAAATATTCAACTGGGATATTTTTAAATAAGCACTTCTGTACTGAGGTACTTAAAAAAACAAACAAACAAAAAAACACCAGCAATCCAGTTATAAGATAACTGGGTGCTGTGACTTGAAGTAGAAGTTGCTACATCTGCGTCCTTAAAAAAGCAAAACAAAAACGCCCGAACAGTAACATCCCTCCACCACCCAAGCAAACAAACAAGACAACCCTCCTCAATTTACTCTGCCAATAGTTCAACTAGATGTTTTTGCATAATGGCTGGTTGTCAGTGATCTATAATCAAAAGCACCTAACAGCACTAGCACAGTGGTCTCATAATCATTTAGGTATGCCTTGGCTTCACAGTGGAAGAGTTCAGTTGAGTACCTCACAGTGCAAGCAGCTGAGTTAGATTCAGCAACAGTAGACCTATCAAAGTTTACTGTGACTGTAAAACAGATAAAAATTAAGCATTTGAAATGAAATATGTTGGTGTCACAGAATGTTAGAGTAATTCTGTGTCAGTCTCCAAGGTTGGAACTTCTTAGAGCTGCTTCTAGTAATTATATAATAAATGAATGTATTTTGGCAAAATGTACCTTTTCAGAACTGAAAAAAGAAATCCTGTTTTACATGTAACTTGCAATAAAAGATAAAGGACCTGCCAAAAATAGACATTATCACATCGTTAAATTGAAGTCAAAATGTGTCTTGATTTATACTGAGAAGAGTAGGATGAAACTTAAATCTTCTGAGTCTACAATTATCTTCTTAGAATTTATTCCATTTCAGCAAGTTCTAATGCTGAGGTGATGAAGATGTATAGAGCCATCAAATACTGTCCTATCTTTCATACCCTGAGCTGCTTTCCAAATCAGCTCCACAGGTTAAATGATGTTTTGCTTTCCCTAAAGGGCAGATATAAGGTTATACAAACCACTGTGAGTCTTTTCAGAGGAATGTGCTGGAGGGGTGGTCCTGCATGTGTCACTGTCATTCACTGCTCAAGCCAGACTATAAACTTCAGTCCCCTGAGGCTGATGATAATATATTTCATCAAACACCAAACTCAGTGTAAATGATTTCCCAATGAAAAGTAAGCAGAGAATGTCCTCTTATATCTGCAATTAACATGTCCCTTGCAAAAAATATTTCCATAGGAAATTAAGCTGTTGGGGGGAGGGGAGTTCTGAGATACCAGTAAATGATGTAGTGACTGATTTATTATGTATATATAATAATATCTATTATTTTTATATAATATTTAATATAATATATAATTCAAATATATAATATTTATATATGTCAGTCACTACATCATTATATATATATATTGTATTATAATATATAATATTATATATTGGTGCTGCAATGGACTATGAATGCTTCAGCCAACGGTTGTGCCTATTTTGTTGCTCCTTAGGACTTACAGTCGTGACAGCCTCTCATGAGCTTTCAGGGGGAAATGGAGCTCTCTGTATTTCACAGAGAAACCTGCTGGCTACTTCAGAGAAGTAACAATCAATAGTAAGCTCCACTGATTTTAAAATGCAGCTTCTAAAGCAAATAGATTGTGCTCACAGGATAAGAATACAATGCTGAAGCGAGAGTAACAGTCCTAGAACAACTCTGATGGGCATCTCTGATATTCAGTGTTCTGTAGATAAATGCTGTAAATTCTTCTATAAGAAAGAAAGAAAATCTGCTTTCAATGTTTCCTCTGCAGGTAGGAGGAAATAAAATATAACATACAGAATGAATCAGAGGTGGAATCAGTATCAGCAATTTGTAGGCCCCTGTCATGTGCTCAGACAGTTAAAATATTCACTTCAGCTGAAACTGTCATCACACAGATCAACCCTGAGGACTGCCAAGCAGGGTTAGTCCCTGAGAGAGACAAACATATCCATTCCATTCCTTTTTTTTTTTTTGAATTACAAATACTGTAAGATAAAAAAGATCAAATGCTCACCGTTTTCTGCTAGGGGAGCCAAAACTTCAAAGATCATCTCTTTTTTATCATGCTCTACTTGCTTCTTGAACAGTTTCACAAGCTCTTCAGCAATGTTTGTGTAGGCAAACTGCTCTTTGCTTGACTCTGCAAAGCAAAAGTTCCATATCAAGTAAACAAACCAAATCAAAAGCTAGATTGATTTTTTTTTTTTCTCTTTTTACCAGGTTTACTCAGTGAGATGACTAATAGTGCACTTCACAGGCAAGAACAATAGACTCGTGTTTGTCACAAAAAGGAAAGAAATAGTCTAATGCTTTAAAGCAGATGTATTGCCTTCAATTGTGAATAAGGCTGTTCAAAAAGATCTATGTACATGATCAAGGCTGTTGGGGCTGTTTCTGCCCAAGAGAATGTAAAGGTAGCTATAGAAACAGTAACGTTACAAAAATAAAGATGGTATTTTATTATCCCCACCTTAAGAAGAAGACTAACAGATCATATACTGTATTTTCCCTAGGAGAGATAAGAGTCATACTAAAAGTTTTAGTGTTTACATGGTCTTGTGACAGTGACCTTTCCTTTAAATTCTGTGCATGGCTGTTGCAAGGCTGTTTCATACTGCACGGATAGCATAACATAGCTTTACAACTAGGCAAGGTGGCCACAAGGAGATTATTCATTGGATTGTGGTTTTTTATGTTGTGGATTCAATAGAAGCATCTGATTCTATTGCCTATATCTGATTCCTTCTAATTGGCAGTTTTACAAGGGATGCAGATGGTGGGAATGGTGTTCTGTCTTCTCCAGTTGCCACCTCCTGAGGGCCATCTGTAATTAAATCTTCCAGCACCTTTGCTAACGCTCTAGTGGATGGTTAGAGATTATTTTAATGTAGAATTGATCAAGGACTGGGAAAAACCATAAACCTAACCTCTTTTGTGCACATCCCGTTGCTGCTTTTTCAATATATATGACTGCACTGCATATTCTAAGTGGATTTTTGACCTTTCTGGTATTTGAAAAGCACCACCACTCTCTCAATGTGGGTTGGTTTTTTTTGTTTCTTTTGTGTTTTTTTTTTTTTTTTTACTTTGACATAGTTTCATATAATGCTTCCCAAGGGATCTCTAGAATGCAGTTGTCACTTTTAAGTGATGAAAGATGACAACCTCACAATAAAATTCCCTGAAGTTACATGGCAAAAATAAAATATTACAGATGTAGTGTGATTGGCTAAGCTATTGCTTAAGGGAGATTTAGGTATTAAAAGCTAAATTAATTTCGTGTCAATCTTAAAGAACAAGCAGCTTTTCACTGTGCGGGAACAGGAAGGGAAGCAGCTGCTTTAAGCTTCTTTCCCATGTTAGTTGTCCAGCTGGCCAGTGCTGACTGTTCCCAAAGAGGAAAAGAAAATGTAGTTTTCAGTATCATATTTAATATCTTTATGTTTTTTGTTGTGTTTTAGTAACAGTAGAATTTCAAGCAAAGATTGTATTACTTTTTTACTGTACAGACAGGATATGTTAGTGCTTGAACAGATCACAATTCTTCAAGACATTTCTTAAGTGCTAATGATGAATCTTTCTGTTGTTTTATTCTATTCTATTCTATTCAAACTTGCCTTCTATGTATAAAGGCATTATGTGTGTGACCAGACTAGATGAGTACATAATATTCTCTCTGGCCTTCAAAACTATGAATGGAGGACAGTTTGAATAATTTCAGGCCTTCAAATAATTCTAACTCACAGATATCTTTTTCATATTCTGAACCACAGGATGTCCTTAGAAATGCAGGATGATAATCCCAGCTGCTATATTATACTCTAGAGTAAATGCTCTATAGAGTATAAATATATAATATAGAGATATAGAGTAAATATATATAGAGTAAATATTACTTTAGAGTTAATAAAGAAATGAATAAATAGGACTAAAATTTGACCAAATAGGTTGGTAAAAGATCAACACCAATGTAAAACAAAATTGATAAAACACAGGCCCTAACAACCTGTTGATTTACACCTTGTTGAATCCCAATAAAAACCTATTGGATCTAAATATCATCACAAACTTCAAATTAAGTGAAGTTGTACACAAACTTGTTAAAAACCACAATCTCTGTCATGGCGTGTACATGCAAGTATGTAGTCTAGGACATGTTAAAACTCAGCACCTAAAAGAATATTGCACAAACAGACTTATGAACTGTGCTTGTTTCAGTTTCACTCAGTGAATTCCATGGGCAAATTTAATTCTGATAGAACTTTGTGGAGCTGCACCAGGATATTTTATATTATTAATAAATAATTCACTATAAATAGCAGTGTTCAGGAAATACTGTTTAGATGATTTAGAATGTGCCTAGTTGCACTGAAGAACGTTAGCATGAAACAGAAAGTATACTAAGTACCCAAATAAATCTGAGTTATTGAAGGAAAAAGAGACAACTATGGATTTCAGAGATAAGAAGCAGAAATTGCTTGCTTTAAATTTTGAATGTACCAGTAGGAATGCACTGAGACAAGACTTCTGTTAATCTTAAGAATGAACTTGAAGAAAACTAGAACTAAGTTTGAGATGAATGTTGCGGACTTACCAAGTTCTGCTAAATTGCCAAAAGCAACAAGGCACATCTCTGTCAGAGCTGCATTTTGGCAATGAATACCCAACAATTTCACTAATGTAGGAATAACACCCATATTGATAAGCTGTGATTGCAGGGTATCTATGTAAAAAGAAAGCACAACGAAGAGTTAGTATTTCTGTCTGTAGTACTGTTATTTACATCAGAACAACATTTTTCACTCAAAGTAACTCCTAGGCTAAGCAGTATTAAAATGGCTGTCTCCTCTACTGTTCTACACTAGGATTTGGTCCAGGCATGGGATATGGACTCAGACTTCCCTTTTCCCCTGGCGATGGGATATATTCCTGTAATTGTTCCCTCCTGCTCTGGTGGTAAGGTAAGTTAATTATGCAGCTACTGGTGGCTCCTAATATAGTTGGGTTTGAGTCTTAGTTGACTGAGACTAGCTGAGTAAAATAAAACAAAACTACGTCAGTGAGAAACTTATTTATCTGAGAGCATGGTTCTATAAACTGTTTTGCCTTAAAGATAAAAACTGGAAAATTAAAAGTAGAATGAATATAAACTGGCACTGAAATAAACATGAGAAGTTTTATAAACATAGGAAGTCACAATGTAGATTATGAGGAGCTTGAGAAAAAAGAAAGTTTAATAAAGACAAAAAATGGAAGGTTTAAGAAAAGTCCTTAGAAGCCATTCTGATAATTTCTTGCATAGGATGATAGTTTATAGTATTTACAAGTAGGAAAGTTATTGCTCCTAGATGTCTGCAAATAGAAAGATGCTTTGATGGTTAGGCAGAAATGTGATTGTTTTAAAGGATTATTTATAACCATATTTTATCTTGAACATTACCTATAACACAGCAAAGAAGAAAAACATTGTTTCACAGTTGATTAGAATGAAGCAGACGTGAACAAACCAGATATTTAGTAGATTTCTTAAGTATCTTTTTTCCTCTATTTCTAGGCACTTCAACTACATTTTAATGTTATACACTCAAAAGACAACGATCCAAAGCCTAGTGAATTCAGCAGAATTCTATTTCTTCATTTAACTTTGGATCAAGCCCTACAGGGGAGGTTTTTTTGTTTTTTTTTTTGTTTTTTTTCCTAAGCAGCTGAAATCAATTAGAAGTTTTATTTCTGTGGAATCAGAGCCACAGAAACTTCAGATTTTTATAGTAAGATAAAAACATCTTATAGCTGAAGTCTAGCAGATTTAGTATCATCTCACGTGCTTGGAAACCTCTTTATCTTCCAGATTCTGCCATGTGTGTTTTGAAATTTTCATTAATAAAAATTACGAAAAGATTCTGGAATGTTTATTTATATTTGGTATAAGACACTCTTTGAATAACAATAAATCTGATATACTAAATAAGTTTATGTTGCAGTTATTACAGGTTATTGGGGATGAACAGGAATTCTTATGTCTTGATGTCTTTAATAAAACTCTATTTTTGACCAGTAACTGAATTTCCCTTTTTTTTTTTTTTTAGGGGGTGGATGTTACCTCTTCCAGAGATTCATAATCTTTAGATAAATATATGAGAACACCATCTGAGACATCAAAGAGCTGTTGAAGTTGTCAAATTTCAGGTAAGTACAGATTGCACTAGCGCATGCATTGAATGCCATTTTACCTCCAGCAGATGTGTGAGTCACTACAACGCCTCCTGTTTCATTCCAAACTGACTGTAAAAAATCTAACTCTGAATCAAAAAACTGAGAGGGGGAACTGGAATGGTTCTGTGGAGAAAATGTTTGTGCAGGAGAACTGAAGTTACTGGTAAATAATCTGTTTTTCTCCTTGATTTTTGATTGTCCCTTGCAGGTGCTTAACAATTGTGAAGGAAAAATGGTAGTCATGGACAGCAGGATAACAAAGACACAAAGGACAAATGCATAGAAAATTATGTGAAAAGAAGTTTCTTCATTACTAGACTATGCTTCTCTCTCTTTGAGTAACCTCTATGGGCTTCATTTAGCAAAGCATTCTGACATCAGAAACATAAACTCTGTACTGTGAGTAGTGTTTTGTTTTGTTTTTTCAACACAATAGATAGAAAAAATCTAAGGGGCAAAAAACAAATGAGGAAGAGGGAAATCATATCCATCCTTAAAAGGAAAAAGGAATCTTAAGAGCCAAATGGAAGGATATAGTTTAAGAGAGCATGGAGCGCATTAGTTTAAAGGACTCCATAATTCCTAAAGAGGAATAAAGGAAAAAGAAAATACACCATCAAGGAATAATTGTACTAGGTCAAAACTCACATATTGTATCTGATTCCATGCCAGCTTTTTTCCCTGGTGGAAGAGTAGCATCTGAGGACTAGCCTACAGTGTAGAAAAGCGTGAACAGGAATTGCCAAAGAGGGAAAATCTGGGCTTAATATTGACGTCTTACCACAGTAAGCAGAAGGATATACTTTTTCCTCACAAAGACACGACAACCTCATGAGTCACAAAGCCACATGGGAGGCAAAACCTGGAATAACTGCATAACCTCAGCCCTTCACTGCACGAAGTGCTAGGGCCTTATTAGAGCAGGAGGCAACCTCAGGGGAAACATGCATCTGTCCTACAAGCAGCTCTCTGATGTAGGGCTGAACCAAAGCTCAAGGCCAGGCAACATCACGTCTCAGGATGAAACAGCATTTCTATCAGCTTCCTAAGCAGAGCTGGATGCATGCTAAACAGGAAGCATGAAAACCTGAATGCCTCTTCAGAATTTGACTTAAAGTCAGAAAAAAAACTCTCTCATTATACTGCTATCAAATATTGCACTGGAAAAATGCCTGTGTTCTCTCGGGGCTGAAAAGCACTGATAGTGATGCTGCACAGATGCATATACAGGTAGATAAAAGGCAATCAATACATGCGCCAGCACAAATAGTTACCTACCTAAAACTTGAATTTCAATGGCTCCGTGTCCTTCGGTGACACACATGGAAACTCCAAAGAGTAAGATCTGAGGAGAATATCCCAAATTGAGAACTTTACTGGGGGCATTTGAATTCAAAATGCTGATTTAGGCTACTGCTTGATGTTGGACAAAATTTCAGAAAACATCCAGTCATCATGTTTCATTACTAAGTGTTTATATCACTAAAGGAAAATCTGTTTTCTACAAATAGGTGGCATAAGTTAATAACCTATAAAAGTAATTATATAGTAAATTATATCACTATCTTAAAAAAAGATGCTTTAGATGCTTTAGGTTTCTTTGCATTTGAAGTATATTTAGATTTTGAAAGCACACTATACAGCAGTGATGAAATGAAACAAAAACTATGGCAAGCATGAAAATTAGCAAAGTTAAGTCTTAGAAGGAAGCATTGCTGAAATATTGCTATTAGACCATAATCATGGAACAGTAAGTCTTCCTTTCATTCTTTTCATTCTTTGTGTATTGACATAGATTCTGCAGACAGTAAACAATGCAAGACAGTCCCCAGTCTTTATTTCAGTCACTGAGATTTTTGTGATAATAGGAAAAGGTTGGCAGATTTATGGCTTAACATCATCACTTTACATTTTAAAAAGGCACTGAATGAAATAGACAACCTTGACAGACTGAATTTTAATATGAAATGAAATGAGAAAGTAGTCTATAAACAGAATTATTTTTTCTCTGTTGTTTCACACATGCATACTGTATTCAGTTGATTTCTGATCTGTAATTTGATGACCTAAGAATCCAATTGACCTAATTCTCAATCACTTCTACATTTCTTTGGGAGTATTTTCATGGTCTGTTTTGCAAATCTTGTGAGACAGTTAGCTACTTTACAGACTAATCCCATTAACTTGTAACTAGTCTTAGCCTACAGGATTATGATAACTGCAGAATAACCATTTGTCACTAACTCTTTTATGTGGCTGTTCGCATATGATTATTAGTTGCTAGTTTTTCACTCTTTATCCAAGCCTGCTTTGCCTCTTGCTGTTAAGCAGATCCATAGCTATACAGAGACTATATGTAACAATATGTCTTCAGAATGGGAGAAGCACAACGCTATGCTGAACGCACAAAGGTGCCAAAACAGCTGTTGCATGTCTTGACAAAGAAAGAACTGTTACAGGCTTTTGCCAAGACTTACTTAACAGAATTACAGCATGAGGAAAACCATTCACAAATGTGTGGCACACTTGTCCCATTCCTAGCCATGCCTGCAACTCTGCCTTTTGAGAATTAATAATGGAAAGCAGGGATGAGAAATTTGCATCTAACTGAAGTCCAGTAGTAAAACAGAATTATGGCAGAGAGGGTTGAGATAATGTATACGGAAGACAAAGGGATGTATCCCATCAAAAAATCCCTGTTTTCTAGCAATACAATTAAAAATCAACACTTTTTATTTTTTTTTTTTTTTTTTTTTTTTTTTAAAGCTTAGAAGTGCAAGAGGTGCCAAAGCCAAGTTTGTTCTGTTAACATTGTAGCACCTAATGAAATGGTAAGCTACTATGGAAGCAAAGGAAAGAAGTGAGAGACATCAGGCAAAAATAATTTTAGAACATGAGCAGATAGCACAAGAACCTTATGAAGAGAATCTGAGTTTTAAAGCTTAGACAACAACATTATGAATGAAGCTACAATTGCAGAACCAGCACAAGGTATAAGAATGCTAGATTAATTTGCTCTGTTTAGGAAAATAAAGTATTACTCATAGCTGCTCTTTAGTTGCCATTTTTGTAAAATTCATGTGTGGTAAACGCCCTATGCTAATTAAAAAATGTGAAGCACTTAAGAATGAATCTTTAATGTCAAAAAAAATAAGGTAGCTAATTGCTATTAAAAATAGTGCAGTCGCTATTGTAAAAAGAAGGCAATTAGTATACTGTGAACAGTGAGATGTTTAGAATCAAATAAACAATTTATATGCTCCTTGCTCATAAATTGCTAAGGATTGGAAAATATTAGGGTGTTCACAGATAATTACATGCAGCTAAACCAAATGCACTGTAATCATCCTTATCTGGATAGCTAGTGCAACTTCAGAGAGCGTGAGTCATTAGAGGAGGTAAGGAAATCTTCAAAGTCCCCACCTGTAACTTGGTAACATCGCATGCTGAGCAGGAAAAGATTACAGAAACAGTAAAAACAGAAAGTGCTGTTTCAAAGACTGAAACACTTCTCTTCTCACGCTTCCAATTTTTTTTTTTTTGTCCAATTTGTTTCCATAACTACGAGTACAGCAATCTAAGACCCTAGGACACAATCCCATATTCTCATTCTACAGTACCATTAGTGCAGTGTTTGTCTTCTTTGGAAGTAACACAGGATTGAGCTTTTGCAAGTAAATTGTGAAAACAGCACCAGCTAATCTGTGAGTACAATTCCCTGTCAGGGCAACCTGAGTTTTTCATCTTTAACAAATCAGTGAAAAATTGCACTTACTCAGCATATTATCCAACTGATGCTGCAGTACATGGAAGTAAGTGGTTTTCTTGGGCTCCTATTTGACATTTGTCTTGAAAATTTAGCATGGTTGGCAGATAGTATTTTTATAGCAGTTCACAACAGTTGTGCAGCTGTATTTGTGGCTCCTAAAACAAATCTGGAAAGCAGGCCAACCACCTGTCTCTCCATACACATACTGCACATACAGTCACTGAGTTTTCTTCCTAAAATTCTATTTACAATTATTTTTTTTTTCCTTGGCAGATTATTCAGGGTTGATTTTAGTGTTTGCCACAGCTCGGGGGCAGATTCACTGATTACAGTGGAGCTACAGAACATGAGTCTTACATGACATAGCAATGGGTCCCTATGGAAAGCCCTTACAGAGACACCAGGTATGTGGGGTGAAGGTGAGGGTTGGTAAGCCTCCAGCATTCCTCCTTGATGTGGTGTTAGCACAGAGTGGAGATCTGCACCCAGATCTAGGAGCTGGGAGTATTTCATGTTTCTGACCCGCTTCAGTGGCTCCTCTGACCGTTGCATCAGTTTGTTAGTTGATGTCAAATGAAAGATGTCTTTTAGCAGAGCAGAGAACAGCTAGTGAATCCTCCTAGTTGTCACTGAACTACACAACTGCTTTATAGATTCCATGAGAATAAGCCAGCTTACTAGATGGGATGAGTCATTCACTCCATCTTTAAAACAGTCAAACTGTTGTTGCAGAGATTTGTCTCCTAACTAGTTCACCTATGGAAGACTTGCTAAGAACTTGGGTCTCTGAAGCAAAACTGTTGCAGTATCTCTGCACAGCACTTTGGAACTGGTCTGTCTTGAACTACAAAATATAATGGAAGCTTGCTAGTCTTAATGCAGAGAATCATGGAAGCTCATAGCTTTACATGGAAGCTTTTTCTTATGAAAATATATTTGCTCTACGTGTTTAAACAAATAAAGAAAATAATGGAGTTAACACTATAAAATTTGGAGACACACAGACATCAAGAAAAACAGTTCCTGAAGACTATGAAATAAAGGAGCTAGACAGTTGTTATTTGCTGAATAAGGCAGAAGTACTATAAAGAAGTATTCTTCAATATTACTAGGAAAAGAGGATAGAAAAATAATGCAAGAACAAGAGAAAGACATGAGACACATACAACGATGGCATTTGGAGGTGGAAAGATCTGAGATAAGATAAGAGCTGAGAGATCTGGAGAGATGGTGCAGAAAATGTGTGAGAAAAAAACTATACCAGAAGAGATGATAAAGTAGATTAAAAACTTTTGCAATAAAGGTCAAAAAATTAAGCCTAAGGACCTTCCTGAAAAGCAGAAGAGTTGGGGACACAGGTTTGGGAAGTGAGTCACAGGAAGTGCTAAGTTACAATGGTAAAGAAACAGGGAATTGCTAATAAAGAAGCTATTTTTTTCATCAGACAAAGCACTACAAATCAGGAGATGAGCATGATTGAAGAAACAGTGTGATTAGCTATCTACATTTGCAATCCGTGCCATTACAAGTCAGGAGAACAGCCTCTATTTAGCTTTCCTCACTTCTCCCCATTTTCTTAAAAATTCCCATTTAGAAAAACTCGGAAGTGAGTGATTGCTACAAAATTTGCCTTGGCATTATTACCACACTTGCATGCAGAAGCAAACTAGGTACTAAAATACCAGGACGTTTGTACAGCTAATGTTGAACACTGCTTTCCATGCCTCAGTGGTCTAGGATTTTTAACTTTAGCTACTATCTTGTTTTGTTGTCCCAGCCCTAAACACTTCCACTTAGTGTGAAGGCACAGACTGGCAGGCACAGATTAGTGCTGGATATACACATAAATTATTCCCCATATGTAACACAGGTAACGTGGTTTTGCATACATTTCTCAAGGCGAAAATGGTTAAGAAAAACCTGTATATTTAATCCAGATTATCAACAAAACAATACTGTGTGCCTGAGAAAAACCAATATTATAGTGCCATTTGATATTAAATGAAAAAGAGGATGCAACGTAGCCTAGTTTACTTCTGCAAATCTGTTTCTTCCTCAGGTGTATGATGCATCTATATGTATTGCTTTTAGATACAAGTAAATTCCAGATGGTGATTTTAAAACTTTATACTATTAGGAATTGCCTCAGGAAGACATCAAGTATTTCTTGGAATCTAATTGTACTGAAACAGAAAATTGCATATGTAAATCGAGGTGGTTATCTTTTAAAATAATTTAATTTCTACAACATAAACCTACAGTTGGCTTTAATGTTTATCTTTTTTCGGTTTTGGATGGGGTTGTTCTCCTGGTAGACATAAAGCAAGTTTTTCGTGTTGTTTACCATTCTCATTGCTATAGTTCATCAGCATGCCACAAAAGACAGTCAAGAGCTTCTCACTGGCTGGATCTGTTTTACTGCACAGCGACCTTATAAGGTCTACTACAATATGTGCACCACCTGCATGGTCAACTGCGTTCCTGCCCTCATCTGTAAAACAAAGAGTTACATTAAAAATAAATGAAACCAAAACCCACCACAGAACCCCGAACATCACAGTAATCATACAAAGCCAACTTTTTAAACAGTGAAGTCATCTCTTCAGTGTTGTCAAATTCCTCTATAAAGACTCTTGAAGGCCAGCTTTTAGTGCAACAGAGCTGGGAAAGTGAGAACACCTACAACAAAATGGATTAACCACTTGGCGCTAATACCTTTGTACAGATGTTTAGTTTGATGCAGAGGCCCTGAAGCTGAAAAATAATATTCAGATGATGCATTGGATTTTGCCAGAGGAAGGTTCTGAGCATTTACAAAATAAAGTGCACGTATCCTGAAGGCTTTGTGGACAAGCCAAGTGACTCCTACTGCTATGTGGATTGAGAAATTGAAATAAAGAACAACCTGCTCCCTTGAGCAAGGGGATATGGGAAAAAAAATGGAAAAGCAAATCAGAGGTACCAACTCCCAGTAACCAACTCACTGGCACACAGCGTGTTCTTCATATTTCCATACCTGGAATTTAATACCACTATCAGATTGTTTTTGTATGGCTGAAAGAAAATTCATTCTCATCTGCAATATACTACAGTGTTCTGAAGTTTCATAAATAACACACCATAGTCTTTGTATGGAACTCTCTGTATAACAAATCCAATTTGATGTATCAGTGTATGAATAAAAGAAAAATTGTCCTTTATTACAGTAACCAACTATACTGCTTCCTTTCTCAGCAGGCAGTAGACAACAATCAATAACCTTAATTGCATGGCTACTAAAAGCAGAGATTTCCTAGTGAGTTACAATCGGAATCAACTGGAAAATCTGGATGAAAACTTACACTGCTCCTCAGTCCTCTATTTCTTAATGGTCCAACAGCAGATCTCATCTTTCCTTTGCTATTCTTAACATCACTCTTCTATCCCCATAATGGAGATGCTTGGAGGTTTAGCTATCAAGTTTTCCCAATTCTGCAACATGTGCAGCACAAATACCAAGGTGGTTCTCATTTATAATATGATCTTCCACTAAAAATTGGTCCAGAGCTCTTCAAAAAGTTTCTAAATCTTCCAGTTGTTGTTAATAGTATTTAAAAGGGGCGTATTGCATTAGAATGTAAGGGGTATAAGAGGAACAGTGTATTAATTTTACAGAAAAATATATAATTAATATATATCTAAATAAAGGGTTATAACTATAGTTTTATATATATGAATACTCTCTGTATATAGTATACAGTATAGCATCTATATATAGCTATATATATATGAACTCTTCTATAGTTATAACCATTTGTATGTATAAAGGAGGGTATATATATATATTTATGTATAGATATATAGATATAGGGACTTCAGATGATGTACTGAGTGGAGCTGGAGTGGGAAGAGAAATTCTTAGTGGATCTAAACTGTTTAGTTTATTACCACACTAGTAAGTGTTTTGCAGAGTATCCATGAAATTGGACACGGAGCAGAGGAAAAAAGTCGTTGACTGTTTCCATTCCTGACCTGATCAGGATGCTAAGGAACCGTGATTCGCTCCAGGTATGTATAGTTCATTTTGAAAAATTAGAAACTAGAATCTGTTTAAAGTCAAATCTGTTTAAATTCAAGATAATAAGGTCTGTCAAGGATGGTGTATGAAAAATGGAGAAATACAAAAGCAGTAAACCTCTCATGTCCCTGATGCATTGACAGATGTGGGCGTAATGCTGAAATGAAATACAATTCTACATCATAATATAGTATGGCAGCGTAGTTATTCAAATTAGGTGCTTATGTTTATCAAATTAGCAGAGGAAAAAAAAAAACTTTAAAAATATTCCAGCATACTGTTTTATGTATCTTCTGGAATTTTTTTGATTGCAGATTTAATATATGATTTCGTATATGACTCACCTTTTTTGTGAGTCAAAACTGGTGTGCAGAACAGAATTGAATTGCTGATTCTGCATCAAATAGACTGACTGTGGTTACTATATTCAAGTTACTATAATACAATTAAAACCATCAAAGTAAAACCATGATAAAATTGAGCTTGTGATAAAAATCAGCTGTCAAACTAGTTACGTGTCTTGGTATGGAACTGCACGTAAAATACTTTGGCAAAGGGATAGTCTGGTGAGTTTAGATGCAAAAATTAAGAAAAAAAGGGGAAAAAAGAAAAAGACCATAAACCAACAAAAAAACAGTTATAAGCCAAGTTCCTTACCTGGATAGAATTTGACATAACTCCACTGAAAGTTATCGTCTGATTATACCTTAGAACAAATGAAGATCTGAACATCCTTCTAGTTCTGTTTTCTCTCTGGTTTGTCAGAGAAGCTATATATCAAAACCAGCTATATCTATATCTTTCAGTACATGGTAGTCTCTCACTTCAATGTATGATACATTTTTTTTTATCCTCACCATGTTTTTATTATGTAGATAGATAATCAGCTTTCATGGTACCAACAGCAAAACTAAGGCAGAAAGACATAGCAACAAATCTCACTCTGAGAAATAAGATATATATAGCATGCTCAAAATGTATGGTAAAATGAACTGCAGGATCACCTCCCCAGGTAGGTGGCTGGATCTAAGTGCCAGCTTTGGTAGACTGAAGTAGAAAATGTGCCTTAATTGAGTTTGTTGCTGTATCTCTTTTGTTGCTGAATCTCTTTCCCATGCTAGGCTCATCTTGTATAGCTGCTTTTCTGCCCAAAGCAGCTTGGTGAAGAGCAGACCTGCGCTGGTGCTATAATTACAAACTCCTGGTGCTGCCTCCTTATGCCTCAGAGGTTTAACGCAGCTCATTAGTGGAGGGCCACAAAGAACTCCATACCAGGTGTAGGAGGAAAACTCAGAAGGTCCTGACTACTCACTCCAAGCTCAGGCTATGACAGTCAGTTGCATCCCCAAGCAAAAAGCGTATTTCTGACTCAGAGTACTCCATGTGCTTATGTGGCCTCACTTCTTCCTGCTTTGTCTCTCAGAAACAGATTTTGCACACAAGAATACCAAACTCCAAATCATTTACAGTCAAAACAAGACCACAGCATGCTGCTGTGTCTTGTTCTCAGTCCAACTATTACCTTGTAGTTCAGCAGCTCTATGAACTCCCACTCTCAAAATGCTTCCAGCCTCCCAGAAGCAGTGTTCAAGTTTATTCCTGTGACCTTTTTAAATAAACATTTGCTGTTCCTATGAGACCAACGTTTGAACAGTTTAATGAGCATTCACAGCTCTACTTTAAAATGTTTCAGTAGAGCTCACAAAGGGCAATGATGTTGCATTATTACTTTTTTTTAGTAAACATGATACTGTTCAAAGATGCCAAAATGACAACAGCCCAAGAGAGCAGAGAGATGGTTTTCTTCCTACAATGAAATGTATAGTGAGATTTATTATAGAACAAGTCGCTATTTCCCCAATGTCCTTTAGTCCAACACAACTATCTCTAAGAATGACTAGAGTCTCTTTTTCTATCCTTAATTACTCTCAGGGGTTTTATGCAGAACTGGGTTTTAATATGGACTATCAAATTACTGCGATGGCTCTCATGCCTCCTATGCAGACATCTGTCAAATTTCATTGTGGCCCTCTCTTATAGGATGTCAGGGGTGCACCAGCCAAAGAGCAAAATTTTTGTAGTTCCTGACTAGAAGATCTTTAAAACTCAGGGGAAGGTGCCTTGTATACTTGTTCTCCTTGAATGCTGTCTTGGAAGATGCAGCAAGCCAATGCAAAACCTCTCTATGGCAGCTCTTTATTTCTTAAAGGGCTCTCAACTTCTCTTCATTGAGGATTGGTTTCTTCAGGACCCATGCTTGGCTCTCCTCCAGGCTGGGATTATTTATCAGAGGGGTTGTCATATACATTAGAACCTATAGTTTTTCAGCCTTCATTTACTGAAAAAACTGGTGCAAACATTTCTCCCATCTGATCAAATCTTTGCTTTCATACTGCAGAGTACCTTCTATGTCTGCCCTCTGTTCATGTGATTTGTCTGCTCTTCATTCAGTGATATGTAACGCAGAAAGTTTTTCCTCCAACCATGGAAGACCTTCAGGAAAAATATAAAGGTACTGCCATACAGCTGGAGTGTGACCAATATCCACAAGTAGAATAACATCTTATGATAGATAATACAGAAATTATTTTCTATGCACTTAATATGTTCTCAGGTGTCTGACAGAGCTGCAGAAATTCAGATGCAGTCTGTCAGTTTTGCATTCTTTGTGGCCAAAATATTGCTTAGGCTGAACCAGGGTTTTATGGAGAACGTTATTTTAATATAAGATGAATTTGCAGTAGTCCTAGGGAGGATGGGGAAGAGTTCTTTCTTCATACTTTGTTTTCATTTTCTGCTTTTTTTTATGGGACCCGTTTGTGTAGTTGTTTCTTTTTCACCATACATCTGCTTCTAGTGCTTATTCTTTCACCTGAAATCATAATTTTCTGTGACATCAAGCTGGTTGTTGCAGAGAAAATTATGATGTGACATTCATAAAATTATGAGTACATGTGGTAAAAAAAAAAACAAACAAAACAACAGGAGCAGAACTCCAAAGGAAGAAAGGGCCCACTTCCATGCTTTAAGTAATAAAATGAAAGAAAATTTAAAATTTTTGGGGCAAACCCTTTCCTAGCATAAAGCACACTATATGTGCAGATATTAGGAAAACCTTAATTACTTGAATTAACTGGGAGTTTACTATTACATTTTTCTATTTCATCATTTTGATGGTGAAACTTGTAATGCAATGCTGCCATTCAATTTTAATAATACTTGACTAGGCTTTTTATCTTGTTTGTGTATGCTTTTAAATCAGAGGATTCTGCACTCTCAGTTCTTTGCAGTCCACAACCCCACTGCAGAACACAGAGCAGCATTCCATTAATTTTATTTTTTCAAGGAAAGTAATTTCATGAAATTACATTGCACTGACTGTATTGTTTGCTGCTTTTTTTCTGCATCTTCTTTGCACTTGTCTACAAGCAACAGGGTATGGCAGCACTGTACTTTGGTATTAATGTTTTATGACTTGAATGGTCAAATTGATTTGGGATTGCTCGATTTGTACTGAAGTTCCTTTCCATTTATTTAATTACTTCAGGAATTATATAAATGCGATTACCAGAAGTACTTTTTTTAAAATTTGCTTGTTGATTAAAATCAATGACTATAGTCTTAATTTTTTTCTTTAATGAAGAAAAAACTCATCCTCAATTAGCCATGCCTGCTGCCAAGAGAAATACAAATCTTGTAGTTAGTTATCTCAAATTGCCAGCACCTATCATCAGTTCTAACTCCACCTTCATTGAGGGTGCCGCCTTAAAAAATGACTGCTAAAATAGTAAAGAGGTGAACAGTAAGCTTGAAATGCAAACAGAAAACTGTATTTTAATACAATGTCTTCAAAGACTGAAAAGGTGTAGCATCAGTCTTCCTGGATAAAATTGCTGCCAGCATATGTGCTGGGCAGTGACAACTGAAGCAGTGGTGTATGGGCCCAGAGGCTGCTACCAGACACAGAAGCCTTGTTCAGCTCAGGTACTGGACTGGCAGATGAAGGACAAAACAGCTACTAAAATAAACTGTCAGGTGTTCACTAACACTCACACAACTGCTTTATTTCAACAAATCACTTTAAAAAATGTTCAAACTGAAAACCTAGTGATATTTTTGGAAGATTTATTATATGTTAAATTTTGAGTGCCCTGTAGGGCATCAGTGCTAACAAGCCTTCCTCTCCCTTGGCAAGTATCATGGAATTTCAGTCAGGAGTTCGGCTGAACATTTGAAGGGACAGGCGAATGTGACAGTATCACAGTGTCCCTCGTGTAATGCTGTGGCAATAGCCAGAGGCAAGCCACACTGAAATTCTCAATTGATTTCCAAAAGCTATCTTGTTTTTTCCAATTCCTCTTCTGTCAGGTACAAGATAAATCACCTGTTTCTAATTTCAGTCAAAAGAACAAACGTAGTTCCACTCATGAATTCTGTTAAAAAGCAAGGAAACTAAACAGTATGAAAAAGTTAAAGTAGCTAAGCCTAAGACAGGCAAGAGGCCTTCTGGCTCAAGTGCAGCAGTTCTCTCTGCCTTCCTTCCCACTTGAAATGCTCACAGCAGATTCTTCTGCTGATTTTCTAACTCCATGCAACTCCTAAGTAATTGCACTGCAGCCAAAACAAATTACTCTAGGTTTATGAGAGTGTAAGTCACAACTAAATCCAGCCTATGCTTTTTACTTATGTATTATAAAATAAATAATGGAATCCAATTATACCATAACTCATCGAGCAGTTTTCCTACAATGGTAGGTGGGCATTTATAGCATCCCATGCTATTAACAGAATAAACCTGCACGCATTTAGATTTAGATTTCTCAGCTTCATCTGGCCACGAGCAAGGATCTGAGTAGACCAAAACCAAATGCCAAGCAGAGATTTTCTGCTGGGTGCTGCTGAAAGGAGCTCAGCATGAAGCTGAGCCTGGCATTGTGCAGGAGCAGTGCTGACAGCTGAAAGGAGCTGTGGTCCTCCAGCAAAGCAGTCAGAGAGGCAAATTCAAAGTGTGTGACCTACAGGGGTTTGAAATAAGGCCAAGAGGCAAAAAGCAAAACTGACTAACGAACAAAACATCACAAAGCACGTTTGCAGATCTTACTAGGCCCTGAGTAGTGAGGAAACAAGTGCCCTCGGAAAAGCTGTGGAGAGTCTTGGGTTTGGTTGGGTTAGGGGTAGTGCTGCCTTTGCCCAACAGTATGCAGCTATAGGGAGTGAGAAGATCTGGCCTTCTAAAGGGAGCAGCGTTCAGCCTGGTGACTGTAGGAGATGCTTCAATTTCAAGGGTTGCAGCTTGAGAAAGACCAGTAGTCTTTTGTTTTAGGAAATCTTTTACCTCCTTAGCAGAAGGCCGTTCACTGATTTGACTTTAGGGCATCAAGGAACATAAGGTGACTGTAGAACAGCCCACACTCAGGAGGCAAGGTGCTAAGATGTCATTGATAAATGAACTGGACACCATCTCAGGTAAGTAACCCCTCTGCAAGGAAGTAGGTACAGTTCTAGATAGCCTTCTCACACCCACCCTGACTTCTCAGGCTATTCTGCTGGCTGGACAACTGACAAAATGAGCAGCAGCCTCAGGATTAAGGGCGATGTTGGAATGTGAATAAAGCACAAACTTTAAAGACTGTGAATGAAATGCAGGAGGGGGAGAAAGTAAAGAACTGGAAAAAGTCTGCTTTGTTTCTCACTTTTATAGTCTTGGTTCCTGTACTGATAGAATACTGATCTACATATTCCAATAATCTTCCTGGAAAAAATAAGGAAAAGCAAAAAAACAGCATTGCAGAAAATATAGAGGACTCTTCATACCTGAACTCTTTGAAAGGCAAGAAAATCAGTCTCATATATTCATTTTAAAGACATGAAGAAGAAAGTGCAAATACATGGTAAATTGCATTTATTAATTTACTTTTCTTATGTGGGCTGCTTTTAAGTTTTGGCTTAAGTCATAAGAATTTAGTCGCTTGTCTCAATACGGTCAATATGTAGAACATAAGTTTGAAAAGAGTAATAGCCTTAGAAGGAGAATTCATGTTTTTGTCACCCTTCAAATGGCTCTTTCCAGTGCTCTAGGAAGATTTATTCTGATTCCATTTTAGACAACCATAAATTAAAATTATATTGTTTAATAGCTTCCTAAGAACATTCGTGACTAATTGCTGGTAAGTACTAAATATTACTGTGAAAGTATCTGTTGGCATGCATATGGTGTACTTGGTTTCTAGCTGATGCAATGCTTGTTCTGCTGAGGGTTGGAAAAAATACTGCATTATCAGGGACTCCTAGGTTAAAAAATACAGCATAGTTTTTAAAGACTCAGGCACTGCTTAGAGAGGACAGGTCTAGAGGTAACACAGTATTGCTGCACTATGTAAATTAGAATTTGACACCTCTCTCTGTAAACAATCAATTTTCAAGCAATTAATTACAACCTTTGGTCTCAATTTCATGATACTGCTTGATTCGTAGGTGGTATTTGCATTTGTTAAGGTCTGATACAAAGAAAAGTGAATGATTGTGGTAAGATGCTGCCTCGCTGCATGAATCAGGGTGACTTTCATAAAAATAATTAACCACTAGTATGTTATTATCAACACCAGTTGCATTTTAGGATTCTGCTGTTTTTCCATATGGTACTATGAAAGGCTATGCCATTTTTTTGAAGAAGAATGAATTTGATGCGTTTTCAGTATGCTTAATTCTTAAGTGTCTGGTTTTCAGCTTTAGATCCTGAAATTAAACTTGTCTTCTGAAAGATGTATGAAATTGTACAGTTGAGTAGTTTTGTGTTTTTTGTAAATAGCCTTCCTTCTGCAAGAGGTCTGTACATCCTTCTAGGATGGGCAGCCAAGTGTACGGAATACATAGCATCCCAGTTCTTTTGAACATAAGAGGTGGCATATTGTTCGTGGTCTAATGTTAAGGGTGGGATCAAGACAGATTTGGGTCTGTGTGAGAAGCCACAGAGGTCTTGCCATTAGTGCAGTATGACTAGGTTGATAGAAATGTATGACTTGGGAAACAAGAGAAGGATCCAGTGCATATCCTGCAGAAAAGCAGCCGTCAGAAGGCAGCCCTTACAGAATAGGTTGGCATTTTTAATTTCTCTCAAGTTCTACAGTTATTTATATCATGAACTGTAGTTGGTGAAAACGTGCATGCATGCTGGTGGTTTTGTGAAAAAACAAGGGACCAAATGGAGTAAATAGCAGTTGATCTGAGGACCCCTGAAGAGGTCTCTAACCTCTACCATTAATATGAATTTTATAGAAGTGCAGAATGGGATTTTTTTCATTTCTCTTATAAGATACATAGAGGGTTTATTTCACTGTGAAAGCTTTCAGAATATTTAGATGTTCTGAACAGCAAGAAGGAATTATTTCATAATGGGTAAAATCCTGTCTCAACTGAAGTCAACGTGAATTACTCATTCTGGCCCATGTGGTTTACAAATCAAGCTCTGAATATCCTAGCTTTTCACCACCTCTTATAATTATCACTTTAATATTACAATTACAGTACTTCCTACAGTGTGCTCAGTGTTGTATACAAATGTGGGAAAGTAGTCTGTCAACCAATCAGTTCAAAACTGGAGTGTTTTTCACACATGCTCATGCGGATCTTGGTTTTTGTAGCAAGAACTGTATTATGTTAAATAACCTTTCTCAATCAGTGGAGATGGTTTCATATGCAATATTTAGATCTCAAGATGTAGGGGGAACCTTTTGGACTTCTGGAAGTATGCTCTAAAATACCTGCAAGACCTATATCTATATAAGATCTATAACAGCTCTAAAAAAAAGAAAAATCTGGGAAGAATGACATGGGGTTTTTGGAAAGGAGAACAGTAGGAAGGTAGCTTTGATTTATTTCATGGAGAAAGAGTGGCAAAGCAACTACAAGATAGGTCCTATGTTCTGACTAGACAATGCCTAAGAATTTAGCTTTGCTTGTAAGCAGAAAGTAGCTGGTGGTAAAAAGGCATGAGTGGGCTAGGATTTTTCTATCTAGTAATAAAATTAAGACAAAATTCTGCTCCTGAGTGAGGCTGTGGAATCCATTGTCTGGGCATACAGAGGTTGAAGTGACTGTATTTGGTATAGGCTGTAGTTGTAGTGGGAGAGAAAGCAGGTGGGAGAATGAAGAGGATCACACCTCCATTTCTTTGCAGTTTTTGCTTTGACCAAGATTTGGGGAGCAAAGTGAATGTGGCATAACTACATAAAGCATTTAGAACAGTTACAGGCTGTACAGGAACATGCAGTAATGTATCTGTTCTTAAACTGTAGGACAGCATGGAACAGTTTGCATAGTGTGGTTGTTCCTGAGGTAAAATCTTTTTGGCTGCCTCAATTGTTTCTTTCATCTATGCTTATCAGAGGAAGGCTGGGAGACTAGAAGCCTCATCAGAACTAACAAAACTTTCTTCTACTCTGCTTTGCAGTGATATTTGCCTGTATTGGTGATGTTTAGAGACTACATAAAGCAGATATTTTCACAACATAAAAGCTTTAAGAAGGATGCTCTCATGGCTGCTTGGGATAAATCTGACCTATTTTTTTCTCTTTAATTGTTTATGAAATGCATTTTATTCTGTTGGGTTTTTTTTTTCTTCCCTTCTCAAAGAGTTTATTCAGCATTATTTTTAGGGGCCTAAAATTGGGGATCACATAGATGATAACACTGTGCATGTTACCCCAAACATAATGGAGAAGAGAATCCGTCACTAAGTAACAGCTTCCATTTCACGTTTTCAGTAAGGAAATCTTTCAGTATAATGTCTGGTCAGGAGGTGTGTAATTCCCATTTCTCTGTGGAAGGGTATTAAACCTGAGCATTTGGATTTAGCAATGGATACCTCTCCCACAGCAGCAGTGTTTCGGAAGTAACCAGTGGAAATGGCCTTGCCTTCATGCAGGAGAACTGAGAAACAGTGTCATTTTAATTTTATCAAGAGAAAATTATTAGGGAATTGTCTTTCTCTGCATGGTCATTTTGTTGGGGCTTTCCCCACAGAAAAAAAAACAAGAAACAAAAAACAAAAAAAAAAAAAACCCACTTTACTCATAGCTTTCATCCTGCATTGTACAGATTTCCCTCCAAAACAAAGACTTTATTAGCTCCTTTTGTCACTGACAAAACATTATGTTCTTGTTGATGTGAAATAGAGGATATTTGGGGCTTCCAATAAATAGAAATGTTGCTATGAGCTATTCGATATGGGCTTGACTTCAGACTTTTAGCCTAACACTGATTTAGGACTTTTAGAATGTTTTCCATTGTTGCATGCTATAATTGTATGGCTGTGGAAGTGAAAAAACAGTCATGCACATGGTAAAATAGAGTTCCTGAGGTGTTTGGGGTTTCTGCGGCAGTCCCAGTTATCAGAAAAATGACATCTGCTTTTGTGTCAGCTGAAAAGAAAAAGATGATCTATACAAAATGTCTGATTAGAACATGATTAAAAATATTGTCCTCCACATCTTGTCTTTGCTATATATTAAATATCTTTGTTAGGGAAAAGTAATTTATATAAAAATAAATTAGTCATAAATGAGAATATACTAAATTTTGTGGTAATAAGCATATTTAAAGTACTTGTCTTCAGTATGATTCTAGGATAAGTTATAGAATCATTACACTTTAAGATAACAATCAAAACAAAGCAGGATAGGGTGGATGCGATAAATAGGTTCCATGAATAGCCTCTTCCACTTAAATCAGAGATGCTGATTTGATTTTTGTGGTATTTTATTACAGCCTGTTCATTATTCTTATTTAAATGCACAGGGAGGGCTGTGACTGTCCTACAGGACTGCAGCAATACAAGGCATACAGAACATATCACTGTACTGTAGGTTTTTGTTCCACAAAAAGGCAGCACAAGGCATATAGTGCAACTTTTTCTGTGCTGTGTAAGCCCTGCACTGTAAAAGCAAGAAGCAATCCACATTACCCAATATTTGAAAACCATTTTCGTGTTTGCTTACTATATTTCATGTAAAATTGTGGGTTGAACAAAGAATGACATGAGTAGTTACACAGATTTTACCAACGTGAAATAAATCACTGCAACCTGGGACTGAGCTTTATATCACATATGACCCTGAAATAAAATTTAGTAAGTAAAATGTTATGGAAAGCTCAATAGTTTCTTCTTGAAGTTTCCACAGGGAAGCAGGTGTTTAGTTGATTGGTCACCTTAAACAAAACCCTAAATGAAAGAATTAAGTATTATCATCCTGAAGTGGTAGCTGTCTGCAAATGAAAACACCAGCATGGAAAATCTGATGAGCTTCCCTGAGGTCAGAGACAAGATAAGTAATTTCAAACAAGATAAAATGCAAATTTCCAAACTAGCTTGAAAAAAATTGTAAGACACTACCAATAATTCCAGTTTTGAAAGACAGCAATTCAGAACAGCAAAAACTTCTAGCAGATGTAAAATGTATCACAAAGAAAAACTCTTGCAATGCGAAATAAAACACTAAATCTGAAGATAACAAACTGCTTATGCAATTGCATTTCACTTCCCATATGCAGACATCCATAGGCTTCTAGCTACTTCATGTGAATACAGAGATTGCATTTTCAAAACACTGCATCCACTGGTTTGTTTTTGCAAATCATGTGTCCATGCATGCAATCCACACATGGAGTCAGAAGTGCATTGCAGTTTGCTAATGTGTGGCAATTCAAAATTTATTTTGACCACAAAAGAACTAAAAGTCGTCACCAATCCCCAAGTCCTGATTATCAAAATTAACCACATGTAATCTTGTTGCAATTGATTGGCCACTTAAGAATTCGGAGAATCAGCAACACAGCTGAAGCTTCCCTTTCAGCCACATGTGTAGCTCTGCACAGCTCTGAGACTGGCAAGATA